TTTTTTTTTTTTTTTTTTTTTTTTTTTTTTTTTTTTTTTTTTTTTTTTTTTTTTTTTGCAACAAAAAATTTCATCAGTGATGTAAATAAAAGTCACATTAATTTTTTTCTTCACAAGTATGAAATTTATATTCAACAAACACGCCAAGTTGAAAGCATTAAAACGCACCTTCATCCCACACACACAGCTATGTACATCCATTTTAATTTTCAAACTTCATTTTCCCACTAATGTTCGACGAGAGTAATTGTTTGCTTTTTTGTTGAAAAAAAACGAAAAATCACACAAAACAATCGAAAAAAAACGAAAAACAGGTTTTTCTTGACCAAAAAAAAAAAAAAAAAAAAAGCACCACCACGCGCACAAAAAACAGAAGAAAAAAAAAATCGAGTCCTGGGTCATTGAAACGTGGCCGTGTTGCAGAGCGCGGCGTGGACCGGCAGAGCGACGACAGCTCCCGTCGAGCGGACAGCGACTCACACGCCGAGAACTGGACGGACCACGAGGCAAACGACCCGCCGAGCATAAACACCCTCACGGGCTCCCCACCAAAGTCCGCCAACGAGCAACAACAGATGATGATGACGATGATGCAACAGGTGATACAACAATCGGGCGGCAAGGACAAGAACGAGGGCGGCGACCGCAAGAGCCGATTATTCGCCAGAGACCGGGGCACACCTGGCAGCAACAAGACCAAGAAGCACAGCTTGAGCGTCGACCTCAAGCCCGTCGGTGATCTCAACAGTGCCGAGGTAAACCAACGTTTATCATATATACCGGCCAACGTAAATTCATTGTAAATAACGCTTTTCGTGGGCAGCCGAGGAAAGCACTGGTGGAACAACTGGGGCGAGTCCTGCCCGACGACACCCTTCCAGAGTCGGTGGCGCTGATCTCCCTGTCCGATCCGGGGGGAGCGGTGTTGGCTGCTCGCCTGCAGGAGCGAAACATCAAGGTCCTGACCACCGCCTCGTCGGCCGACGTCCGCGCCACCTTCACTTGTCTGATTGCCCGGATACAGAAATTGTAAATACCCACTCTGCAACTATACCCCTCTTGGCTAATAGGTACTTTATACACGTGGTGTTTTTTTTCCTCAGCTGCAACAGTTCGGCAAAGCCACCGGCCCCGATAAAGGTCGTGACCGCGGGCGGTGACAGCTTCGTGAATACGGTGCTGCGACACTACGTGGACCTGTTGAGCTTCAAGCCGCCCGACTGGCAGAACCACATGCGATTCCTGATCGTCCCCCTCGGCTCGAACAGCCTTTCCAAGTACCTCGCCACGATAGACACGAGGTACGCGAGCCTCTTTGGGGACGAGTGGCGGGAACTGGCCGAGCGCGAGGCTGCCGGTGCGAGCGAGAGCGCTGCCCGCGTCACCGAGTACCTGGCCACATCCGCCACGACTCTGCTCCTGCCTATCGCCGAGGCCATGGTCACCTACAGGTCAGTATCAATTATTGGAACGCAACGCGCAATACGTATGTACACTATGTACACTCAGCTCGGTGTTTCTTACACAAAGCGGCAAAGACCTATAAATGTGCAGCGTGTAAGTATATAATCGAGTTGGTAAATAGCTGATGACATTCATATCGTCGCAGCGCGTAATGAATTACAATGTGCCGATTTCCGTGACAGGGAGACGGATGACAGTAGTCAAATATTCGTCCCGTTCGTGAACGACGTGAGGGTGGGTTGCCCGGAGAGCAGTGCCTCGGCGTCTGTCGACCTGGACGAAATGGGTGGTACGGGCTCGGGTTCGCCGCCGTCCCTGCCACCGGCCTCGTTGCCGCTGTGCCCGCCCCCGGGACGTCTGACACCCCCGAGCAGTCCCAACGTTGGCCAGCCCCGGGACGGCTGGGAGCCGGTGGAGCTGCAGCTCGACTACTGGGGCAAGCCAACTCTCGGTGAAAAGGGCAAGAATTCGCTGAGGCAGGCCTTCAAGGTGCTCCACGTGCAGAGGCTACCGCCACCCGGCGAGGCGCCCGGGCAGAGCTTGTACATGAATTACATGACCAAGGAGAAGAAGCAAAAGAGTGAGTTCTCTCTATTTTGTTTATCCATCGAGTCACAAATCAACGAAGATCCTCTTAAAGTGATGATAACAAAACCACCACAAGCTGCTTTAAGATGGTTTCATTGATCGAGGCCGTGGACGGATTAAAACGTGTATTTGTTTCAGTAATGAGGCTTGGCAAGAAGAAGGAAAAGGAAAAGGAAAACGAGCCAAAGAGCCAGCAGGTCGACGGCGTCACGCGACTGATATGCTCGGCAAAGACCCACAACATTCCACTAAGAGGTAAATGCTAAAGAAATCAACATAAACTACAGTGCGCGCGCTCCCGCTACGTTTTTCATGATAATTACGAAATTGGGGGCTTTCGCGATGAATGATATAGATCTTTGAAATGAGAGAGCTCGGCAATTTGAAATTTTGAGGCTCGTCGTGGGCAACCAATGGGATTTTCTTGCCTTTTTTTCCCCCCAACAAAGTTCTCGAAAAAATGTACGCAAACGGCTAATGCTTGGTGGTGGCTATAGGTTTTTCATCGGGACATTCGTGACAACTGTACTGCGGTGGTGTAAGAGAAGAAAAAAAAAATAGTTATATCGCAACCTTGTCCTCGATCGGAAAGTTAAAAAAAACAAACATGTAATTATTAAGCTATTAGGATCGCGAGTTGTAAAACGTCATCGAGATGATTCACTGCGGATTATGTGCCTATGCGACGGGAAACCTTAAATTTTATTTATCGTTTGTTAAAAAATTTCAGCCGTAAACGAATAATACAAATAAACAAATCACTCGGCAAACTGCAGCTCCGCGCGAGCGCTCAAGTTGACGAGTCGTCGTTGGCTGTATCAATTCGCTAAATCAATGTTATTTCTGAAAATACCCCCACAGTGAGCATCGACGGGACGGAATGGTACGGCGTCAAATTCTTCCAGCTGTCGGCCCAGTGGCAGACGCACATCAAGACCTTCCCGGTCGCGATGCTGGCCTACAACTCCCAGCAGCAGATGCCCAATCTCACGTGAATCCTTGACTTGGTGGCGCGACGCCGTAGTAGCACGTTAGATACGGAGAGGAGAAAATACGATGATGACGATAACAATAACGGGGAGGTGATAGCAGCACGCGCGCACACGCCGGCAAGAGAGAAAATATAACTAAGATTATATATACATAATATATACATANGCTTCAGTTTTTATGATAGAAATTTATCGTCATTTTTCAACATAAGCTTCTATTGAAATATGAAGGTCATAAAAATGAGCTATTCGATTGTAACTATATCTCGAATTAAAACAATATACTCTGGTCTTTTACTGTTTTTAATAAACGAATAATAAACAAACATGTATTTATATTATTTATTTATATGTCCAGTAAGGTACGAAAATAAAAATTTGATTTAATTTTAAGATTCATAGTTTGAGGTGCATGATATTTTTGGACGTACAAAACAAACTCCTGTAAAATGCTCTAGAGTTAAAATATATGCTAATAACATTGTTCAGAGTACAGTTATAAGATTTAATAATAATAATAGTAATAATAAATATAGTCATCGTGGGTGTGTGTTTGATGCAATATAGTATTTTAACAAGGCAACGTGTGAGCTCGTACGTTTTGTCGGTTGATGAAAAATTAAAACGGAAGATCGGTTGTGAGGTAACGCAATTTCGCATCGCTTTAATTATATTAGTATTTATTACATGTAGTCATATAATTATGTATATTTTTATGTATATGCAACAACGTTTGAACAAACGAAACACTAAACGTCGGATTGAAGGTACTAAGACGTGTTTTTTTCATGAGACATGAGTATACATTTAAGGCAAGTGAAGTCGTGATAATTTATAGAATATCAAAACTAAACAAATACTCTTTTTAAGTAAACGTAATTATCGATATTTTTTAAATATATTATTTAATCTCGCCGATAGGTTAAAATTTTAACAGAGAAAATAAATAGATTCATCAAATGACTTTTTAAGATACAATTTATTGAAAAGCAGATTTATTGCTTAAGCTTTAAACTATTATGAAGAATTTATAGTTCCGAATCTGAGTGTCCAATCGGATTAAAAATTATTATTTAGCATATGTTCATAAAAAAAAAAAAAAAAATTCGGCCAAATATAACAAAAAAAAATTACAAATGAAATTTTTATACATTTGACTCTGCAAATAACACATGTAATTTATTATTCAAAGGCATATACAAAACTTGGCCCAGATGATTTTTATAAAGATATGCGAACCAAGTATGAAGCAGAAAGCGTTCGTCTGTAAATAGTGAGTTCTATTTGCATATCGAAATCGATTGTGTGTACAGTCATTATTGTTAAGTTACGTTCCTAAAGTATAAAATAATTTGCGTCGCGAGAGAAAAAGAATTTTTAAGATGTCTATTTCGGATACATACACCATATATGTTTATTATAAATAAATTTTCCGTTGTAAAGAATCGATAAAAAAAAAACGAAATGTCAACGAGACGTGCATTATTTAAAAATATTGTTCGCCCTTTAGCTCAGCGATAGCTCTCTCTGACAAAAATGAAAAATATTAACAAAACCGATATTTTTATGTTAAAAATAAGTAATTGTTTTTATTGACGTTAAAGCATGTCAAAAGTTAATACCGATTTTTTAAAACTTTTATGATCCACCCGGTTCTGGTCGTTCATATTTCTGTCTTTTGAATTTAGTTTTTTATTCTATGAATCATCAGTATATCCCTTTAACAATAAATATTAATGCTGACAATTTATTGGGGAGGGGTTTGTTTTTAAATATTTCGTATTAGGCTTACAAATAAGAAAAAAACATATTTAGCTTGACGATTAAAATTAATTACTGTACGAAGCATCGATATGAAAACAACACTTTTACTTTTGACAGAAATAATCTTAGTTTACGAATAAAGATTAAAATATACATTAGTGACCAACGTCATGAACGACTGCCTATTGCCAAATTAATACAACGTGTCTTCGCGTTTTTATTAACGGGATGAAAATTTTTAGATGAAAGCAAAGCAGTTTAAATATAATTTGGAATGTGTTGTCAAATGAGCAACGATTCTTGCCAAAAGCTTGTTGTAATGAAACAATTTTACGATATTTAAAATACCTTGGCTAATTTTCGTGTTTTGCTAGTCTTCAGTTTAATAATCCTACGAGTAATGTACGTATGTATAATCTTTTTTCTCATATACCTAAATCTTCATGCACAAAAGAATTGACTTGTCATCGATCGATTGATTAGATAAACTGAACTGAAACAATAAATGCGTCATACATCGGTCAAATGGCAGTAGGACACATGATCACATCTTTTTTCATTTTATTTTATTTCATTTTTTTTTCTTTCTTTTTTTTTTTTTTTTTTTTTGTAATAAACAAAGCCTCTTTAATTCGATAGATATTCTCGAGCGATAGCTGGGTTTTTTTCTCTTGTTTATTCATGACTTGAACTGGTCATCAGTTGCTGTGCCTACCATGCCACGTGTATTCCTCTCAGCTGTCATATAAAGCCCCGATAAAATGCGAATGTGTATTAACAAGAAAGGATTTTTCTTGACGTATGCACCTATTGTTACCTTCCTTGGCTTATCGAAAATCTTAGAATACTTTTGCAAAGATTTTGGATAATTTTTTTTTTGTATGTTTGTGTACTTTTTGTTCATGCAAGTGCTTTACAGGAGCCATTATTATTACAACTTGAACTTTTTTTGTAAAAAAAAGCATCGAAACAAATTTACCCCATCAACTTTCAGTAACCATTTCCTAAATGGCTTAGCACAAAGTTTACTATTGACGAAAAAAATCCAATAGCGCGCGCGTGCTAATTCATTGCACAAGGATTTTTAAGCGTATCCCGGTATGGTTATAAAATTAATGTTTCCGTTGAAAATTTGCAGCTATGGTTATTTCGAATAGGCATTTTTATATTCACACTGTAGTTTTATTCGTCGAGTTCACTTTGGTAGCAATAATCAAAACGAAATCTTGGAATGGGCAGTTTATCGTATTAATTTATCGGGCTTTCTTGTGCTTCATTGAAAAAACTCGATTCACAAAAAATAACAAAAGCATTACGGTAAGATAAATGTGTACAAACTCTGCTTGTGTGTCGTTAAATTTGACTTTGAATTCGTACTGTCTACCATCATTGGTAGGAATCGATGTTCATTGCAAGGATAAATCAAACAAAAAACTTTTTTTTCTTTAATCATCAATAAAATAAAAGTACAGTGTCATGAAAAAGTGCCAATTCTACAAGTGACCCAAGTTCCTCGTTTCAGACTTAACGTCGTGGTATTGTAAGCCAGTATTTTTATCCGCATAGTTGAAGAAAAAAAAATACTACCTAAGAATTAAAAAAAAAAAAAATTTTTTTAAACGTGAGAGTGCGAAGGTGCTCCTTTCCGTAATAACAAAAAGTTCCTCATTACGTTTTTACTTTGTTGGGCGCTGCAATACCTCTAAGTATGAAATTGTTTAGAATCCAAGAATCAGTGTTCTCGAAAGCAAAAAATAATGCTCAAACCTAAGTACGTCAACGGTGAGGCGTAGGAGTATTATGCAAATAATTTTTTCGGTAGTTTTCATAGGATAGCTAGAGAATTGACGGAAATAATATTAGTCATTTTTTCGATAAACTAAAGGCAAGAGCGAAAAAAGAATGGAACGATCATCATTACGATTGTTGATGCTTGATTTGGTTCAATTATTTTACGTACAAAGTGAAAAGTTCGTTTGTCAAACAGTAAAGATTTTTTTAAATTAAAAATTTGTTTCTGGTTTGTACGCAAAGTGTCAAAGTTGCACTGATTTTTAAGTGCTCAAGTAATCGATGCGAATTCCGGTTACAATTATTATCCCATCAGCATCGATTGAAGATCAAAGCTTTATTACCTTAATAAAATAATATAATTTCTTTTTATGGAAAAAAAGGAATTTCAATGCAAAGCGTAAAATAATAATCAGGTGATTACCACATGGAAGGTGGAAAAACTAAGACATGTAATTTATTATTCAAAGGCATATACAAAACTTGGCCCAGATGATTTTTATAAAGATATGCGAACCAAGTATGAAGCAGAAAGCGTTCGTCTGTAAATAGTGAGTTCTATTTGCATATCGAAATCGATTGTGTGTACAGTCATTATTGTTAAGTTACGTTCCTAAAGTATAAAATAATTTGCGTCGCGAGAGAAAAAGAATTTTTAAGATGTCTATTTCGGATACATACACCATATATGTTTNTTTTAATGTAAAAGATTATTGTTATTATTCTGTAGAAAAAAAATTTCGTGATCCAAACTCGTTTTACTATTAATCAATATTTTTTACACTATGAAATATTTATAAACTTGTTAAAAGATACAATCCTTTAGCAAAGTATATTTCATGTTTACTATTCAATTTATTGCTCATTGATTACTAATTTGTTTTTTTTTTTTTTTAAACTAAAATGATATCTATGTTAACGAGTTTGGGTCACGAGTGAATCTAGTAAGAAGGCAAGATAAATGATAGAATTTTAATTAGCAGTGTACTGTTGCTAAATTGCAGTACGAGAGCAGCCATCGAATCAAAGATGAAAAAAATATGTTGTTGATGTTTGTAAGCTTGAAATATAAATGTAACGCCTTTTACAGTATTTTTGTTGTTAATGCCTATACCATAACGACGCTTTTTAAATATCTTGATTTCAAAGGTCTGTTAAATAAAAGACAATGTTTTTTTATAATAAAAAGTCACCTTTATTTAATATTTATCATATAAGACTTTTTTTCATAAAATATATTTATTATATTAAAATTTGTGTTAATTCGTATTTTATAAAAGCTTTGAGAGTATTGTACCAAAACTGTATTTTAATCATGTATAAAACTACTCATATATATATACATTTATTATGGTACATAAGTATTAACGCAACAAATAGTAAATTAGTAGAGAAATTTATATAAATCTTTATAATTCAACATAAATTATAGCTGCTCACGAAAAGTAATATAACACTTTTATACTTGAATCAAAGTGACTGGTAAGACTTTGTCGTACCTTTATACGGAGCAAATCACATTTAGCTACTTTTAACAAACTGGCAGGATGCATCATTGTCATTGGCGTATGTATAAGTACCTACAGCGTTTTTCACATAGTACATACATTACGGAGATCACTCAATTACAGAGAAGTAACGGGACTGTTGCAGGGGTGGAGCGCTACAGCCCGGCCTTTGAGTCCTTGTTTGCCGCCTACCCCACCATCGGGTATAACATAGCCGCCCGTGTGTCGAATCGGACCCTCCTCCTCGAGATTAGCATTGCTTTCGAGCAGATCGGCCAGCGGCCACAAGGCCAATCGAGCTGTTTTCCCGTGTCGCGCCAACACGTGGTAGCCTTGTCTGCAACCGGATGATTTGTTGACTCAACCAATTAATAATTTTTCAAGTAAAGAAAATGAAAGAACGCCACTTTACTCGGAAGAGATGAGTCCAACGAGCAGAGCCCAGTGTGCTTTGTGGCCGCGTTTAAGAGTCGGCGCGTTGTTCAGATCCGAATCGTACGGAATAAGAACCTTGGCGCCGCTCGTGAGTGCCCTAGTTATCGTATACGGGTAGTCCTCCAAATTTCTCAGGATCTCAGGTCTGTGGTCGGCCATGTATTTGGCCGCAAGTTTAGCCATCGAGTCAACGCTGTAGATTTCCCCATGTTGAGTGAAACCGGATTGCCTAGCGTCCTCGTAGAGTTCGGCTGCCGCGATTTTTCGAGGATACTCTTGGGCCGCCATAGCCAGAGCTACCAGACCACATCTGAAATAAGTCCATTAGCGTTGTTGTTATTATTTACTTACGTTATAATTAATATACAATGATTGAATTTTGTAAACATCCATGAGTAGTGCACAAGGAAGAGAACTACTCACTGTGGTCCCTGCTGGCGTATGGGCTTGAGGTGGCAGTAGTACTTTATGTCCGCGTCGTTCAGCTCGTACCTGAATATTAAACTTTGTATCTCCTGATAAGGATCCGTGAATACTCTGGCATAAGTCTTGGGTGGCAGAACGGTTATTGACAAAGCCGAAGGCGGTGCAGGAGGTGTTGGTGGCGGTGTGGGCATTTTTTCTTTTTTTTTTATCGTGAATTTTATAAATTTCACGATCCAATGCCAAACTGCATGTGCATTTTATTCATGGAGCAACTAGATGAGGCTGCCAAACGCCAGACGTCGACGGCTGTTCTTCAAATTACCTAAAAGAAATCGATCATCATTGTTACAGATTTATTTTTTAATGAAGCAAAAGTACTTTAAGGTAAAAGTTGGACGACATGGATAAGATCTCCGAAATGTGTCTTGTACGTAATAACAGGCGTTGAAACAGACGATATTTACGTTACATTTTATTTTTAGCTAGATTGAAATTCCACTAAAACGCAAGTCATACAAGTTTTAAACGTAAAGTGGAGTGATGATGATGATACCTGTAAGCATTTCACATAGATAAGAAACTAGTAAATGTCAACACACGAAATTAACATAGCTTTGTTATTACGCGTAATTGATGGAGAAAAATATTTTACTACAAAAATAAATCGAACTACTGAACGTACATTCTAGGTCATCCAAATTTAAAGGCTTAAAAACTTTAATTTCTCTTTACTGCAGATAATATGTGTATGTTATGAAACCACCATAATATTTGTAGATAAATCTATTAATTCTATCACTTCAAGTGATATATTTTATTATGTGCATGGGTGTACATTGGGTAAATTTTTTAAACACAGGTCACAGTGCCTAGCTGTGATATATAGACAAATTCCAAAAAATTAAACGGTCTCATATTGAATCGATTTTTTTTTGCCTCTAATTAATTGAATCAAATTCCGGTATCTTCTATATACTGATGCCTCTAGATAATTTTATTAATTAACCAGTACAAATTTTTTTTTTTCTATTTAAGATTCATAAGTGCAACACGTACATTTTGACTGATTCATCCGATACTTAGGGTGAAATTTTTTTCAGCAATTTACTAAAACTTCATACTTACTCTCCGGTACTTCTCTCTCGCGACTCGCAATTTTTCACTGTAAGTTTTCGTATGTTTTTTCGTTCTCTTCTTCTTTTTTCTTCGTTATGTACTTATTTTAAACTCCGGATTTTTGTTGCTACATGTTCGTTTAAGCGATGCTCTTGTATGTATCCATTATGCAGCAGAAATAAATTGTCAATTACAACTACATCATATTAACAAACAGTCGTTAGTCGTTATACCGTCGTTAGCGTCTGCGACAAGATAATAGTAACTAGTGACACATATGTACTACATATGTATACATTAAATAGTAGGATGTTATTTTGGAGATTCGGAGCAATCGGAGATTCGGAGCAACGAAGCGAACAAAGCATGATGCGTATACTTATAACTGTGATACAAATAGTAGGGGGGTAGAGAGAAAGAGAAGAGTCTAAGGCTGCGGACACATGGAGAGCGTAACGCGTACCGCGTAACCCTTTGAGCCCATGAGAGTGAGAGAGAGGTGCGCGTATTTTACCTCTCTCTCACTCTTACGGGCTCCAATGGTTACGCGGTACGCGTTATATGCTCTCCATGTGACCGCGGCCTAAGGCTGCGTTATTCAGACGTAACGTCAATAGCAATCTGCAATCCACATGAATGCACGGGTGCGAGAGAGATGAAGGATCATTCGCCTACGGACGTTTTTTTGGTTCGGGCGTGATCGGGATTCGTCGGCGGCCTTCGCTCTTGAATGAGTCTCAGCTAAGAATCAATCAGCGCCATCTAGCGGACGATTATTCTCGAGAAAACAAGTGGCTCAGATACCCTACGGACGTTTTTTTATTTCGAGTGACGAAGAAAAGCATAACTCAGATTTTGCTATGTAAAATAACACATTGAAATATGAGTTATGCTTTTTTTCGTCTACATTAACATGGGGCTAATATGTCTAAAAGTCACCGCTGATTGGCTATACTATTTGCAGTGGGTCAAATTTCTCGGCGGACGAAAAAAAGCACAACTCAGATTTCGGAATGTTATTTATCAAGGCGAAATATGAGTTGAGCTTTTCTTCGTAATCTTAATAAATATGCTGTAAAAAAAAAATTAAACTTGCCGCAAACAGCATAACTAACATTAACTTTTTATGTTATAAATATAAGATCAGTTGCGGCTGGTTTATAATTAATTACTTGGCTCTATTGTAAGTTGCAGTAATAATTATTTGGATCAGCGCCATCTAGCGGTCTTCATTTTTTGGCGAAAAGTGGCCCCTAAAATTCTGAACAAGAGCAATCAAGCTTACAGACATTTAGCCAATTATAAACCAGCCGCAACTCATTTTGTAGCTATAAAATAAAAAAATAACGATACATGTGTTTTTGGCGGCAAGTTAACAATCTATCTTTTACACAAAAATTTATCTTCATAAATAGAAATACTTAGGAAACCAATTTTTGGTAGAAAATAGATTGTTAACTTGCCGCCAAAAACACATGTATCGTTATTTTTTCATTTTATAGCTACAAAATGAGTTGCGGCTGGTTTATAATTGGCTAAATGGCTCTAAGCGCTAATGCTGTGGGTCAAAAGTTTAGGGCCACTTTTTAGTTCAAAAATC